CATCAACAAAAATTAGGGACTCAAGATAAATAAGAGACTACAGCAAGTCACTTAGACATAGGAATGCTGTGCTTTTTCTACTTAAATTTAAATACTTCTTACCTATAATAATGTAATAATAATCATTAGATACTGAAACAAAATGTTTCATTCCTGATTAGTCTATTGTGAATGAATTGAAAAATAAGTTATTGAGTGCAATACACTGACTTGAAATTAAAACTTTTAAAGATAACTTAACAACACTAAACTCTTTAGTAGTTTAAAGAAAACATTTAAATTTGATGTGTCCATCACTGTCTACATTTTAATGAATGATCAAATCAAACAATATAATTATCTTAAGGCATTTTCCAACAGGTTGAAAATGTTTTTTTAGAAATGTGCACCAGAAAATTGGACAAAGAGTAGTATTTGTATGAGGTTTTGTTTAGAACATATCATGCATAAAAGCATATCAAACAGCTCTGACATTTCATAATTTATGGTGACTCGTTATATGTTTTGAAAGTTTTTCAAACAGCACTCAAATGGCTAGTTCATTTAACAAAACTTTCTAAACATCACTGATGCCTTTGAATTAAGAGATGTACTTGACCTCATGTAACTGTTATGCTGTCACATACATTTCCCATCTGCTCCCCTGTGCTCACATGTGTCAATTCCTGCAAGAACACACTGTTAGCCAAGGAAATCATAGAAGCACAATGATATTTTTTAATCCTTAATCTATACACATGCATTCCCTATTGTCTGTTTTTAACCCTTTACACTCTAACATCAATATATATGCATATTCTCCATACTTTTCTCTGTGTTCTGACAAGGAGAATTTGCTCAACAGTCAAAAGCTTTTTTTTTTTGACAAGGAGAATTTGCTCAATAATCAAGCTATTTTTTGTCAGTGGTTTAATTTATGGATGACATTTGCAAGGCAAAACTAGTTTGTAGTCACTATCTGGGGTTTTAGGATTAGACAAAGGTAATAATCAAATTATAGAAAAACTGGTGTGCCTGGCCTTTTTGTTTACCTTATGAGAAGATGTTAGTAAAATAGGGATTCTTATCAAATATTATCATGTAATATTTTATATTTTTATCTCTCTTAAGTTTTCTCATTGTTTGATGATGCATTTTTGTTGCAGGCAAAGAAAATTAAAGTGTAGAGACTTGAAAAGAGAGAACAACTGCACCTATTGCAGGAAAGTTCTGAAACAGGACGTCACAGGCAACCTACTCACTTTTTGCGTGGGGTAACAATATTATAAGAGGAGACATTTAGGCTTGTGAAAACTGATAAAAAGAATGTCTCTGTCGGTAAATATATAAATACGGTAAACTGCTGCTTATAAGTGCCCTCTCCTCCCCCCCTCCCCCGTTCCCCCTTCCATTTATAAGCCCTCGGTTAAAGGCTCATCTAACTTTAAACAAAATAAAAAAAAAGCATCAAATTATAAGCTCCCCCCGATATAAGCCCTGTTCTAGCTTTTCTTGTTTCTACAATACCAAAGTAGGAGAAGCCTCAGTGCTGTGACTTGGACATAGAAATTTTAATGATAGAAGAGCAAAGATGAACTTTTGAGAGAAAAGTCTGTTTTCTCAGTTTTGCTACGTACCAGTTTTCTTCATGTTGCCAGTTTTTATTGTGCCAAATGTATTGAAACTAATTTGATTTATTATGACGTTTTGAATCTTAATGAAAAACGAGTAAATAAAAAACGTATTTTGATCAGCACTGCACTAGCCTTTTCTATTCCGGTTACACGTCCCCACGGCTATAGGTCCCCTCTGTTAATAAGCCCTCCTAAAACCCCTTACGAAGTTGTATAACCCCTGAGCTTATAATCGGCAGGTTTGTTTGTGTTGTGGAACTTTAAGGATTTGCCTCAGAAGGAATGGTGCTATTCTTAACTCAAAATTTTGATTCCGTTTTGATTGACGTATAAAATCGAATAGAGACGTCGGCGAG